AAACACCTCATACTTCTGCAAAAAACATAAATTCATTTCTAAAAAAATACAGGTAAACTCACGGACCATATATCTCATGATAAAAAATGACCAAAAAAAATTCCTGCTTTTCTTTATATATATATATTTTTAATTTTCTTAAAATCCTATTTCGTTTTTGATTTTTTTAAAATCCTAAACAAAGTCAGATTCAAAAAAAAAAAAGAAAGGGGGTTGTAGGGCTTAAAATTCCCTACAACCCCTTTTTTTCTTTTTTTTTTTACCTATTATTTAATTCAGGAAAATTCTGGTAAAATCGGGTCCGCGGCGCGGACCAGGTCAGCCACGGACGCGGACGCGCCTGCATCCGCCATCCGAGATCGGATCCGCGGGTGTTAAATAGGCGCGAGGTGCGGGCAGCGCAGGGTGTAGATGAGAAGGACAGGAGAGAAAGAGGTGGGGAGTTAGAGAGTTCGACCCGCGGGATTGCATGGCTACGTGATTGGGGTGTTCGTCCAAGTGGTGCGTGGTTCCCCGCTTTCCACATTGATCCGAGCATCCCAACTACGCAGCCAATCACTTCGCAGGGTAAGGATCGAGCTGGGCGGAGGGAAGACGAAGAGTCCGGTATGGGGAAAAATGTGCACAGCAAGAAGGGAAGATGACGCGGGGATGCAAAGCAAGAAACGGGGATGCGAGATGCGCAAAGAAATCGGAGCTTGGGCGTGCGCGCGCAAAAATTCAAAAGTCCTAACCGCCCCCGTTTCTTGGTTTTCATACCGCGGGCGCTACTCACCCGCACGGAAGTTATTAACCAAACAAAATGAAAAAGCCGTTTCAAAAAAAAAAAGAAAACAAAAGCAAAAAGAAAGAAAAACCCCTTTCTGTCCGTGTCCGTACTTCGGGGCTTCCACGGGATTTTTCCTCAGGGATACGGCAAGCCGCGCGGTACGGATCTAAGCTTATCACATGCCCCCTGGCCCCTTTGCGTTTTGTTATTCAGTTAGAAGTATTACTACATAATATAAGGTCTAATAATAGGATAGTGGGTTTGCAACTCCCCTCTAATGTATATTGGAAGGGGGCAATTGCAAACGACCTCACGGTGGCCTGCGCTAATACCACGGACTCTTTCGAAGAGCTGAAGAGAGTCTTGGATGAATACTGTGCTCTCTCAGAAGCATCAATCAACTGGATAAATCTGCGTACATTCTCCCAGCTCTATACACGATAAGTGTTGACTGGGGACTTAAACAGGTTCCCGTTAACAACTCAGAAAGGTTTCTGGGAATCCAAATCTCTCTTTCGGACTGCTCCAGTGCCCAAGACACCCTATTAAAAGATCGAGTCATTGGCCGGGTATTGGGATGGGCCAGAAACCATAGACTCTCCCTATTTGGAAGGGCCTTGGCCCTATCTCAGGCAGCATTTTCAATATTGTGGTTCCCCCTTACAGTTCATCTGATGGGGGACAAAGCATACAAAGCAATAAAGAGAGTTGGAGCACGATATATCTGGAAACCGCAGGCACAAGAAACCCAAGGCTACATCACAAAGGTCGCCTGGGAGACAATCACCTGTGATCGAAATCAGGGGGGGCTGGGGATATTGGACCCCTGACAACAGAACCATGCCCTACTGGCAAAGTGGCCTGTGATGGCGATGTTTGGCCCAAAGAGCAAATTATGGATTGTGCTGGCGGAATACATACTCAAGTTGGAATGGAACCTTCAAGACGGGGAACACGTATGGCTGTGCTTTCAGATAAAATCCTATTGTCAGAGATCCAAAATCCCGAGTTTGGAAAAATATTTTGTACGCATGGAATAAGTTGAGGCCACAGATGCTAGGGGAGCCTTCCTCAAAGGAGGAAATCTTAAACCAGGTTCTGTTTGAAAACGACAATATCAAACCTGTGGGGGGACTACCTCTGCTCGCAGATGGGAGCCCAGGCTCTTTCGGAAGAACCTGGGTTGAGAAAGGAATAGTTCAAGTCAGGGATCTGTGGGATCACGAGCAGGGAACATGGATATGAGTACAGCAACTCAGAGTAAAACTCCTCAGGATGCGGAATCTGGAGGCCAATTTTCAGAAGGTAAAGGACGCTACGCCATTGAAGTGGCTGACATCTCTCCAGAAAGATACAGAATTTGGCCCCAGGGTCTGGCTACAGTCCTAAACGGATGAAAGGATTTTCTGGAAGGTCACAGGGCCAGACCGTAGCTCGGGGGTAAAAGTCCAGAGTTGGAGAATAAGCAATAACAGAAGCAGTAATCTGACATATATTGAAGAAAGCACAGTTCCATCAATGGTAGAGGCCAGGGAAAAGAGAGTATGGGAACCACACAAGGGTTCTAACACCACATATCGGGGCATAAGATTGGAAGAGGACCCAATAAGAGTAGAACCACTGCTAACAGGCTGGGACATGCCAGACCGGGACCAATGTCCCCTGGTAAAATAGGAGCTTTACTTGGGCGAGCAAGAGTGAGGAAGAAAGCAGTTGCCACAGCCCAAAGTAGATAATTAATCGATTTACAGGTCATCGGGGTGCAGGACCGAGACCTGTACAAGCTATGGAAAGCCCTGAAGATGATGCGATCGCAGAAACAAGCAGCTATTCTTTGGCTTCAATCACTGCAGGTGACACCCACGGCCACCTGGCTAAACACAAAGGGGATGGACATACCGACAACCTGCATGACATGTGAGTGGGGCTGGGAAAACGCAGCGCACTTATGGCTATACTGCCCTTACTCACACAGGGTGTGGGAATGGTGGAAAGAGGAATGGAAGAACTGGGAAGCAGCCATAGAGGACTGGGCTGATTCCTTTATTTTATATGGGAAGATCCCAAAGGGAGGCAGCTTCGAATCAGGGGAGTGGTATGTTGGCTTAATCTGCAGAGGTATCATCCTGGGAGCCCTGTGGGAAATGAGGAATGCCAAAGTTTTCAAGAAGAATACAATTCCGTTTCAACAGACCTGCAACACGATAAGACAAGACATTCCTTTGGCAACATTAGCAGATTGGAAAAGGTCCAGTTTTGTTCAGTTTGGAAGAAGGTGGGGTTTGAAAGGCTATTTTGCTGCAGTGTCAGATGAGACAACAATGACTATAGCACAGTGGTTGAGGTGACTATAGCCTCGTAAGGCTGAGCGTGAAGGGAAGTTTAGCCGGGATGGACTGTAATCATTTCGGTTCATTCTTTAGGAACAGTAGATCAGTGGGCTTTTTAGCCCTGTTTTGAGTTTTCTGAGAGAAATAAAGGAGCATTGTGAGCTTAAATGGGACGCTGGACCCGGTTTCCAGCTCTTATGATGCTTAATAGAAGGACCTATGCAATGTTCTTAAGTGATTAGAGGAAGATAGTTAGCCTCTTGTTCTACATGGAATGCTCAGGCAGCCTTTGGGCGCTTCAAGTTTTAATTATTTTGGAAAGTTCTTGAGGTAGCAAGGGAGGCTGGACCCGGTTTCCAGCAGGTGCCTTGGTAATGACAGAAATAGTTACAGCTGGGATCAATGCGAGCTGGGCTCGTAAGCGAAATTGGCTGATACTGCCAGGATAAGGGTCTCGTTAGGCACTCCTAAAAGTTCCTGTTTTTAGGATTGCATCTTCGTTGCACGCAATCCTAAATCCAATTTCGAGATCGAAAATGTGAAAACGGCCTTAGGACCAGTCCCAAAGGATTTAGGATTCCCCAGGCAAAATCATCCTAAATTTTCCAGTAGCCCCCGACCTACTGAAAAATTTAGGATTCCCGCGTTTCACAGACTCGTTGCGTCGCGCGCATGGCACCGTCACCACGGGGTTGCTGGTCCAGGAGCGGTCCGTCGGGTGGGTGGCCGGACATCGGAGGTTTTCTGCGGGTCGAGGCCGGCAACGGCCACCAGCGGTAGCCGTTGGCTGACGGGGTGCAGCGCGGGGGGGGGCGACCGTGGGCGGGCTGGCGTCCGTAGTGGACCGTTGGCTCGGTTGCGGGTGACGGAGGAGGAGGAGGACATGCGCGCGACACCGTACGGAGGCGTTTGGGGCGGTGCGCGGGCGGCAACGGTTGATTTTCGAATCGCAGGCAGGCAGCTTTGTCGTCTTCTGTGCTGGTTGTCGGCATATGAAGGTCGAGCGGCCCTATCCCCCGGCATGTTGGAACACTCTTCTGCAGTAGTCGCGTGCGAGGGTGGCTCCCGAGGTGAATTTCATGGCTGACGTGCAGAGGAGATTGCCTCTGCTCGTACTCGCTGTCGTCGTGTTCCTCATCGTCATCTTCCTCCACGTGTGTTTGTCGTGGCGGCCGTGGAAACAACATCGCAAGAGGAGGGCTTCAACGAAACGGGCGGCAGGGGAACGTCCGATGGCGGGCATGCAGGCACGCGCAGGTGTTGTTGCAGGTCAGGGCGGAAGACGACCTCCGACTGCAGAGCCTCCACGGCGGTACGACCCATCTTTGAACAACCATCTAGAGTCGTGGGAGACACCACTGCCCCCATCAGACGAGGACTCGGAGACGGAAGAACTTCCAACGTTGCCTCTTGCCAGCGGGTCGACGCACCTGTTGTCGCAGACGGTGCGAGCATGCGGGTCGGCTAGCAACGAAGGCGGCGAGTTCACCTCACTGCTGCACCAAGGCTTGGGAGACGACGACGACGGAGGATTGATCTCAGGTTCGGGTTTTGTTCTGGCGGCGCTAGGGAGGCGAGCCGCACGTTCATCAGCGACGCCGATCCTTCGCCACGTGGCGTTCAACAATCGGGAAGTCAGCATACAGAGAACTCCACACTTCGTGGCGGTGCGTCCGTTACTGGCGGTGTCAGGCCATCGGCACTAGGCCGGCAGCATGGATCGAGTGCACCGTCCGCCGATCGATTGACAAGTACCTGCCCCGCACGCAATGGAGTCGCAGCCGGGTCCCTGCGCATCGGCGGTGCACGTCCTTCGATGCCCAAACGAACAACGCCGACCCAATCCGACCTAAGAGACGACGGTGCATGCAGACCAGCGGTGCGTCCAGCACCCACTGTGAAGAACATCGCATGAGGAGTGTCAAACATGCGGGCACACAGCGATGGCGGCGACGACGATGGTGGTCGCGGTGACGATGCCGACGAACGATTCACAGAGGACGTGGAAGCAGGGGATGCCAACGACGACATTCCTATTCGGCCTTTGGGGAAGACGGGTGTGAGGGGGAGAGGACGCAACGGAGGTGTTGTTCGTGGTCGATCCGTTGGCCGTAGGGGCAGAGGTGGCGTCAGCGACGACGGCGGGAAGTCTGCGACGTACTGGTCTCCGGAAGAGCAAATGCAACTGGTGAGATGCAAGCGGGAGCAAGAGATGCACCTCGCCGGGCTGGGTCACAATTACGGGCGGATGCGGACCAAGGAGTGGAAGTGGGACGACATTGCGAAGCGCATGGCGAACGCGGGGAGGCCTAAAGACGCGGACGACTACATGAATAAGTGGGACAATCTCTTCCAAAACTACAAGAAGATACAGAGGTTTCAGAATGCGAGTGGCCGGCCAGATTTCTTTGGGCTGTCGAATGAAGAAAGGAAGGACCACAACTTCAAGTTCCGGATGGAGAGGGCGTTGTACAACGAGATCCACGCAGGCATGCTGGGCAACCACACAATTTTCCCTCCCAACGTCGCTGACACCGGAAGTCCGGACGAGGTGGAGCTGCCCAGGCGAGGAGCGGGTGCTGGGGATTCTGTTGGTAGTGAGGCCACTCGTGAAGGCTTCCCTGAAGAACGTTCTTCTACGAGGGACGCAACCAGCTGGGCTGGAGGCGGGAAGCGGAAGAATGCGTGTCGACAGGCATTGGAGTCGATTGCTGATGTCATGGACCGCCATGACGAACTGATGTCGTCGACGATCGAATCGTCTAGCAAGCGGCAATGCAGCATATTCACGAGGCAATGCGACATACTCGAGCAGGAAGTTGCAGTCCAGAAAGCGCACTATGTGGCGTCCGATGAGATGCAGAGGACGATGTGTCACGCACTTATGGAGATAGTTGCCGCCATCCGTGGTCGGTCGGCGATGTAGGGCGCACGGTGTGTGTGTGTGTGTGCGTGTGTGTGTGTGTGTGTGTGTGTGTGTGTGTGTGTGTGATAGTGATAGTGAGTGTGTGCAGGTGTCGTCCACACAGTTGGTTGGGTATTGTTTTTTTTCTTTTTTGCTCATCATTTCCCACGACAGTGCATCGTCTGCGTTTTCGTGGCTCGTCAACCAGACAGCCACGTGTGAAAGGGGGTTTGAGGTTTCGGGATTGTGGAGGCAGGGGTCTTCCACACAGTTGGTTGGGTATTGTTTTTTTTCTT